ATGAAAGTGCGTTTTTTAACGAATCTAGTGAGTCAGTGATTCATGATTACCCATTCATAAAGACAGTCACTTGCTTCATTCCTGAATGAATCAGCCGTTCAAACGAATCAAGTGAATGAATGATTCAGTGATAAAATCCGTGATTTGCCGCCACCTGCTGGCGGTTTCAGTTTCATTTTTTAGGTATAATTGCAGTTATTTCAATCATTTAATATTTCTGTATTCAAAATTTTATTTAAAACATTTAGAAGCAATGGATATAACTGATAGGAGGACACATTCCCTGCTTTTAATACCTTAACCATTAATTCAACAGGACACAGCTGATCACCTGATTACCTGTGAGGCAACTGTTCCAACACTTATGCTCACATCAGATAGGGGAATGAAACTTTAAAAGTGTTGATCTTCTTAGTTGGTAAAACATGTATGTGTTGAAACACCCAATAATAAAATATGACAATTTGTAGTTTTGTCTCATATTCATCTTTTAAAAATATTCACAGATTTCTGAAGTATTGTCTTTACTGTTCCAATACTTATGGAGGGCACTGTATGTGTAGAGAGAGAGAGAGAGAGAGAGAGAGCAATGTATATATATATATATATATATATATATATATATATATATAATTGTATTTATATGTAGGCTACACACACACACACACACACACACACAAATGCTGCAAAATGTATCTCATGGCAATATCATGAATCCTTTTCTGACACTAACAAAGAGCAATGGCATTCAGATATTCTATTCTTCAGAGAATACCGTGGTACTACTATGGTATATATATATTTTTTAGACATGACACAGAAATCTAAAATGCGATGTAAACTAGATTTAAATACTTGTAGGAGGAACAGTCAGTCGTTATACCATCAGACAGAGAGTTAAGACAGATATTAACATATCTGTCTAACTTACGTTCCATTTCAGCCATGACTTCCAATTCATCCGCAAACTGTTGTTGAAAATCATCTTCAGTCCCGTACATTTCATCATATTCGTCCATGTTTGCGGTCTCTCGAATGTTTTGACAGGAAATTTACATGTAACCTGACATATGAATAAACAAGTAGTAGAGCGCATATACATCGACAACAGAAATTTTCGCGCAAATTTTTTGTGTACAGAAATGTACTTCCGGTTCCATTGTAAGACGTACATCCGCTCGATAAAAGTCCTGGACATGGTAAATTAAATAAACAAAAGAGAATACAGCAATTTAAGATTTATATTAGAAAATAGCCTGTTTGAAAACTCTATCATCAGCCTTTTTTTAACTGTCATTTTGCAATGTATTATAATTGCAAATTTACAATAGATTAAATTGATATGAAATAATGTAATTTCCTAAATACTGTATGCACTAAAACAATGATATGCATGCATGATAAACAGGCTTTAATTTATTTTTCATCAAATCTGTCGTTCCCTCGTTTCCCTCGCTTCTGATTGGCAGACAAACTGAAGGGGCGGGCATTATGTAAACAATGACAAACAGAAATATCCAATCATTCCGCTAGAACGCAAGTGTTTTGCATATGTCCCAGAACGCTCGCACAGAAGGGGAGTAAACCCTCCTAAAATTGTAGTTTTTATTATTTTGAATGTACTACAGATTTCCCCTATACCGCTCTACGATATAGCAAACTTGTTATATAATTAATTTGTTGTCTAAACTTTTTGTTACCGCCATGTGCTTTAATAGCCAGTATCTGAACTGTATATTTTGGCCATTTCCGCTGTATATTTGTGTTGTTTGAAACAATACATATACTAAAATTGGATCGATACAGAGAAGATTAGCATGGTCCCTTGCGCAAAGATGACACGCATAATCGTGAGGCGTATCCAATCTTTTGGAAATTACTATATGTTTTTGTACATAAGTGTTTTCAATCGTTTCTAAAACCTTCATCCATATAACCAAAGTCCGTTTAAGTATCTTCTATAGTCCTTGATATTACAGCGAATACAAAAACAACAATTAGGAGCGACAAATCTTTCTACAGGTTGTTGCAAAGACAAACGCCAATTCTTTTATAAGCACACATACTTTAATACACATATAGGCTATATTTTTATACATACAAACACACGCACACACATAATTATGCAGGTTTCTTTAAACTGTATCAGTGGGTTCCTTTTAAGGATATCGTTTGGTGGGCTTGACGCTAAAAATCTTGCACAAGAGGGCAGAAAAGCTCATGGTATGTAAATATATTTTCATAAATTTTGAGGTTATACCACATTTTATTAAAACACATTTAATTGGTTTAAATGTTCTACATGTTTTAATTACATAATTTGTTGGCCATAATAATGTTATGGTATATTTGTTACCTTGTACATCCTTGTTGTTTAGTTTTGTTTTATTTATTTATGTATTTGTTTGTTATTTTTATTTTATTTTTTTATTTTATTTTATTTTTGCCACAGCTTTAATGTATGTATCTACAAAAAAGTTACATTCACTTAAGAGACAGCTAGCTCAGATTACATTATCACTCTGTATGTTGCAATCAGTTTAGTTATACAGGCTTGGTAGAATGTATAATTCTTATGCTTTAAATAACTATGTTGAAAAAACGACTGAACATAAAAAGTCATACATGTTTCAGTATGTTATTATTTCTTAATTTTAATTAAGTAATAAAACATTACTTGTTCCGATGGCACTAAAACTGCAGAAAATTTTATTTTGCCCACTTAATAAGCAGAGAGAATATTCTATGTTGAATGTAAACGGAAAAAAAAGACAGAACGGGCCGATTGTTGTCATCAATCGTCAGGGCCAAACTGTTATTGTTCCACGTGCAGTTCTCTCGAAACTCCGCCTTTCAACTCAGCACAGCGGGACGCTATTGGTCAGACGCGCTGTCAATCAAACAAACATGGCCGTGCCTTCTAGTTTTCTACTGTAGGCTCTTTGATTTGAGTGACATCACCAGTTCCGTCCCAACGCGGAAATGTGCAATATTTGTTATTATAATATAGGATCAGTTGTCTGGCATGTCACAGACATATGCTGAACCGTAGCAGTACTGTAAGTGGTTGAGTATGCCGCTGTGACGTTTTTCCAGTACTTTGTGATTATGGCGTTTTGTTGGAGGAGTTTGGAGCCCTTTCGACCTTAGTGTATATTTACTGACACAGACCTAGAACACGCCGCAAATTCAACCACACACACATCTGTCAGATTCACGGAGAAATGATGGACTGGAGACATTTGCTGCTGTTGTTGCTTAGCTTGGCTGGAAACGTGTCACAGGTAAATAGGGGGAAATGGATCGCATGTGTTTACCACTTTATGTTGCTGGTCACCATAGGGAATGCACGGGGACAGGGATATGTGTTCATCTATTTTTGGCTACGCAGAGGCGGGGTGCTCTGAGGTTCCTGGAATGATAGGCTAATTAAAAATAATAAACAAGAATAAAACAGGCATCCCATATTATAATTATTAATATACTATTGTATTATAATTAAAAAGTAATATAGTGAATTTACTATTAATAATAAATAAAGTGTGCGAGTCAGATTCATTTAGGCGAATCGGTTCATTTCAAAACCCGATTCACAGATTCTTTAGTTATCACTCAAAAGCGTCCCTTCGCAGATTTTAACATTCATTTTGTAGTGAACTAGTTGGTGTTTTATATTATGGTTTTGATTAGGTACTGTAGGTCTTATGGTTTTTCTGTACTAAATCTGTGCCATTTTTGCGGAAATTGCATTTTTGTTAAGTTTTATAATGGTATTGATAATACAAACAAATACATTAAATTAATAATAATATTACTATTGTTTTTTCTTATATTGTTAACTGCATTATATCTACCTCAGCTTAATTCCTAAACAAAATTATCCAGTTCAGTCGAGTGCTTTGACAATTTGACAATAATCTGCTCAAAAGACCGATTCGTTTATTATGTGAGCGATTCAAGCAACACGTTTGGAAGAAGTTGGAAACACAACCCTATTAACAGAGTTGTTTAAGCTAATTTCAATTCGTATTCTTACAATAGTGTCATATTACCTGAGCCTGAGCACGAGACCTGCATAGATACGCGCTTAATAGGCTTTGTACTCGAGAGCTCGCGCGATCCATGATGCATTGTTCCCATAGCGGGTGCATGCGTGTTATAACAAGAGTTCCCATGAATGTGTGAGAAAACATGAGTAGTGAGTTTTAAGGTATGTGGTGCTATATGATCATTTCTTTTAATCACTTACTGGCCCATAATGTTTTAGGCAGAGCTTCGGGTTTAGTTTGACCTGAGGTAATAATACCACTGTTCTTTATGCCCTCAGGATGAATTATTGAAAATGTAAAACATTGTATCCCCTCAAATTAATAATGATTGTATGCTTTAATGAAATAACAGCCTAATTATGTCATCCTACAAGTAAATTTGATACCTTTTGTACTGTTGTATTTTAGTGGAGCAAGACAGTTTTGCAATGTTTCTGCAAGTTCTACACAGTGAACTTTATTATACATTAGGCCTACAGGGTGGATCTGGAGTCAGAAGGGGGTCAGATAAATATCTTACAACAGTGAACTGAATATGTGACAAGATTAAAAAATGTTAATCAAAACCAATGCAAAAAAAAAAAGGAATATGAAATTTGAAACAAAAATTAAAAACATGCATAATACTGTTGAGTGATATTGACTCATTCAGAGTTGTCATTCTCAGTCGTATAATGTCAGGCAGTTTTTTGGTAAATATAGGAGTGGCGTTACAAAGAAGGATATCCTGATTAATAGCCGTTGACTGTTAACCATGCTCTTTAACACAAACACACACAACCCTCTGAAGCTATGTTAGTGAGGACCTCGTATAGACATGATTTTTCATAAATAATATATTTGCTGTACACTCCCCATGAATCTAACTCTTACAGACATGTTGGCATTAGATTTAAAGCTAAATGGGAGTTTAAAAATGTTGGCCTTCACAAGTACACGCACACACACACACACACACACACTCAGTCAGTGTGGGTATTTCCGGATACATATCAGGTAGCGATTAGTTTTAATAGTCTGATATCTGCAGTGTGGTGTGTGAAATGGTGTTTTACTGGTTTCTCTTTCAGTGTGAGGGAGGAAGTTCAGTCTCTCTCCCAGAATCCCTGCTCTTTGTTTCAACACTGGATGGAAGTCTGCATGCCGTCAGTAAACAGACAGGAGACATCAAATGGACACTAAAGGAAGGTGTGTGTGTATCTGCATGCATGTATGTGCATTATGACAAATGATAAAAAAGAATGTTATCATGTTGTAGTGCTGTTTTGTGGCATTAAAGACAAACATTTTGTTGTTACAAAATTGTTATTCCATGACATATTTTAAGAGTAGTGTAATTGCTGTAGTATTATTATCTGCCAAACAACTTCTATAACCATTTCACTCTCTCTCTCTTCTAGATCCCATCATACAGGTTCCTACCTATTTCCAAGAGTAAGTGTTTAACAGCTTCAGAAACTAAATGAATGTACACTACTACACGTTTAGGGTCAGTAAGATTTTTAAATGTCACTTATGCTCACCAAAAAAACACAGTGAAACACATTATAAACATTAATATTGTGAAATATTATTACTGTTTAAAATAAACATTTTCTATTTTACTTTGAATATAAAATATATTTAAAAAATAAATTGAAATTCCTGCGATGGCAAAAATAAATTTATTGTCTGCCATTACTCAGTTTACATTACTTCAGTGTTACATGATTCTAATGCACTGATTTGTTTCTTAAGTAACGTTTCTTATTATTATCAATGTTGAAAACAGTCGTGCTGCCTAATTTTTAAATATTACATTAAACCATGAAACCATGAAACATTTTTAGGATACTTTGATGAATAGAAAGTTCAGAAGAACAGCATTTATTTGAAATAGAAATCTTTGGCAACATTATAAATGCTGTTATTGTCGTTTTCGAACAGTTGAATGCATCCTTGCTAAATAAAAGTAAATATAAAATAAAATATTAATTAAAAAAATAAAATAACATCTTACAGACCCCATACATTTGAAAGATAGTATGTTGGTCAAAATTTAATAACTTGCTTTTTTATATAAATAACATCACTTAAGTCATGCAGGCTATTGGATACTATTACCAATAGCCAAAAAAAATAATTTAGTGATTGTTTTAAAATTGCATTCAGGTCTCACACATTTCTGGTATGTAATGCCCACTTTTATGATCCAATTTTAAAGTTGTCTGTTTCCTCTTGTAGGCCAGGCTTTTTACCGGATCCCAATGATGGCAGTCTGTATGTACTAGGAGGCAAGCGCAAAGAGGGTCTGATGGTGAGTGGCATGGGAAAGTGTGCGAGTGTGTTTGTCAGAGAGTCACAGCTCAGTCATTTATATGAATCTTCTCTGCAGAAACTCCCGTTCACTATTCCAGAACTGGTCCAGTCTTCTCCCTGCAGGAGCTCTGATGGGGTGCTCTACACAGGTATATACTGTATGTCAGACATGTTTGTGTGTTTGTAATGTTTTTGGTGAAATCAGTGTTTGATATATGTATTTTGTGGTAATGGAGGTTTCGCATGGACAAAAAAAAGTGATTTCCAGCTCAGTGTGATCTTTTAAAATCTGTGAAAATTAATAAAAGCTTAAAAGTCATATACTAGTTTTGCTGAGCAAAACCCTGATAGCATGTACATACAATGATCTGTGAAAAGCTCCATGGCCTTGCACACTCTCATTTATTGTATTGTGTATTTTCCCAGGTAAAAAACAGGACACTTGGTTTGTGGTTGATCCTCAGACAGGTGAAAAACAGACGAGTCTAAGCACCTCCTCTTCAGCCTCCATTTGCCCTTCTGCCCCTCTGCTGTACATTGGTCGCACAGGTCCGAACACACATATATGACCCTTCTCTTTATTATAACACCCTGAGTCATTATGTAATACACATATGTAATACTCACACACGCACACACATTTTTTTGAAAGAAATAAATACTTTTATTCAGCAAGAATGCATTGAATTGATCAAAAGTGAGAGTAAAGACAAAAACGCTAAAAGAAAAATATCAGAACATTATTTTTTTTTCAACATTAGTAATAATAAGAAATGTTTAATGAGCAGCAAATCAACATATTAGATTGATTTCTGAAGGATCGTGTGACACTGAAGACTGGAGTAGTGATGCTGAAAATTCAGCTTTGAGTTTATTCGCAAAAACAGATAACTCCGTTTTTTTAATTTTCAAAAATCATGTTTTTTTTTATTATGTTATCATGTTTTTATTGTGTTTTATTGTGTTAGTTAGCTGTATAACTTTTTTAGTTCTTTTTACTTAATCAAAATAACCCAACTGCAGTTTGATTGAGATTAATTGGAATGCACAATGAAAAAACATGATTTTTGAAAACTGTTAAAAACGGAGATATCTGTTTTTGCAAATTAACTCTTCAATTACTTTTTAAAATATATCAAAATTAAAAATATAAATAAAATATAAATATATATATATACAATTTTTTTAATTGTAATTATTATCAAAATTTTATTTATCAAATTAATGCAGCCATGGTGAGCATAAAATACTTTTTTCAAAAACGAAAAAAATCTTACCGAACCCAAACTTTTGATTGGTTGGTTATGTGATGCATGTATCCATGTGTATGTCTGCAGAATATATGATCACCATGTATGATACGAAGACTCAGGAACTCCGCTGGAATGCCACCTACAACGACTACTCCGCGCCTCTCTATGATGACAAGAAATATGAATATAGTAGGTCCTTCACCATGCATGCACAGATTTTACAAGACAGTCTATCGAATTTGTGAATGCGTAAGTATGTTGTTTTTGGATTTCATCACATTTGAATGTGTCTGTGAATCACAGAGATGTCACACTTTGCGTCCAGCGGGGACGGTCTGGTGGTTACAGTGGATCGGGACTCTGGTGAGGTGTTGTGGATGCAGAAGTTTGATTCTCCAGTGGCAGGGTTTTATTTATGGAGTCAGGACAGTCTGCGGCGATCTCCTCATCTGACGGTCGCAACAGAAACCCTGCGTTACCTGACCTTCACTGCAGAAAACACACAGTCCCACACCATGAAGTGGACCTACCAGTTCACAAAGGAGAACCACAGCACTAAGACTCAGCTATTGTAAGACATTAGTCTTTAAAAACCCATTTATTTAAAGGGATCATTCACCACCCATTATTTTGTCATCATTTACTCACCCTTGCGTGCCAAACCTGTATGCCTTAAAAGGCAATTAACTATAAAACAAATCAAGTGATGATTAACCTTTTATAAAGTAATATTTTAAAGTAATTATGTATTCATGTGTGCATATTTTGATAGTCCTACTCTCTATGTCGGCAAGACGGACTCTCATCTGTATGCTTCTACCTCTCTTGTGCACCAAGGTGTGGCAATAGTGGTAAGTTCTGCTATCCATTTTTCAAAACCAACAGTAAAACTTCCTTCTTAATAACTATATCCTGTTCCCATGGCAGCCAAAAGGTCTTACACTTGCACGCATTGAGGGGCCAATCACCGCTGGCATCACAATGGGTAATGGGCAGCCCGAGTGTGAGATCACACCCAGCACTGACGTGAAATATCCACCAGGAAGCAGCAATTCCCTGCAGAATCAGTGGCTGCTGATTGGTACAGTCAACACTTTTACACAATTATATTCATATATGTACAGACACTCTAAATTTTGCCCACTTACATTATTATGTGTACTATTATGTATGTGCATGTGCAGTGCTACAACTCCAACAGTTTAAGTTCTAGTTCATTAGTTTCAGAACTGAAGTTTGTACAGTATATTAGAGAAAAATATGCCCTAAAACTGTTCTAAAACTAAAACTGCTTTAAAACTGGTGAATCTCTGTAAATGGTTAATATTTTTTTTAATTCAAAAACATATTATATTTATATTATATTATATTAAAAATTTTGACTAAGTGTTTTCAAATGTAGTTAAATATTGATACAAATTAAATTATAAAGAAAGAGCATTTACAAAGTGCATTTCTTAATGTTTATTCAATTGATATCAGTTATGTTTTTAGAAAGACTGTATTATATTTCTGCATATGTAGCTTTATCTGTATGTGTGTGTGTGTGAGTAGGTCATCATGAAGAGCCTCCTTTGGCTCACACCACCATGTTGAGAGATTTCCCAGAGAACCTGCAGCGCTCTGGTGATGTCATCCCACCCCGAGGTTCTGGTTCTTCTTTCCGTTCTCCCTCTCACCCAGTGAGTCCAATGCCATTTATTCACCTTCATGTTGTTCAAAGCCTTCATTATGTTATTTATTTTGTCAAAACACATAAAGTGATATTTTGCATAATGTTTACACAATTTATCAAGGACCCAACGATATTCATAATATGCAATGGCAGTTTTATTTGACAACCACATAAGGGAGCAGTTTAGAATAGAGGAGAAATGCAGAGAAAAAAGTTTATATTTTTTTTGTGAGTGTGTGTAAATGCATAAGTGCATTAGTTTAAGTGTGTGGGGTGGTTAAGTACTTGCAGAGGAGGTGTGTTATTCACAAAAAACCTTACATAGCTCTGACACCTTGATATTGTGATTGATTGTTTTTTTTATAATGGCTGTTTCCATGTAGCAAACTATACTGAGGAAAGTACTGTATTAAACTAAGTGGGAGATTAACAAACGTCAATTTGTGAGCTGTACTGTACATTCTTCAATAAAATTAAATAAATTGAGATTCGATAGACGGCATCTATAGCAACTTTATAATTGGATGTAGGCCGTTGAAAATCTCATGCATGATGAAATTGCAAGCGTTACGAACAGCCAAGCACAAACTTGTCATCTTGTGTTTACAGTTGCCACCGGTAACAAAGCACAGCTCCTCCCCTGTGTTGCCAGACTTTTTGACCTCTGACCCCATGACTGTGCTGGTGGTGACACTGCTGCTTGGAGCGTGGATTGCCTTCCTGCTAACACACAAAAGGGTTTGTAGTAGAGGGTGTATTTTGAATATTTATAATATACATATTCATATATATGTATATAAATAAAAATATGTATATAATATTTATATACGTATGTATGTGATATAAATAAACAGGCATAAAAACGGTTTGTTTTTCTCTTTTTGATCAGCCTGTCAAAAAATCCCAGAGATCTGAAGAGCCAGTGGACACTAACCATCTGCCAGTGTTGACCAATCAGAGCGCTAACGCAGAACCCAGTGCTCCGCCCTCAACCTCATCTTACAACAACAACAGCCATTCAGAGAAGACAAGTTCTGTTGCATCCAATCAAACTCAGCCATTCTCAAGCAAAGACTCCGCCCCAATAACGACAGCTGGCCAATCACAGAGTACAGATACTATTCTATCTATCTCCATATCAACTGTTGAGCCTTATTCATGAAACACAAAAACTAATTTCTGTGTAAATCCAATTAAATCCAAACTATTCTTTTTACAACTGATTATAGAAATGATTTTTTAAGAATTATTTTCCGATTAAGTTCTGCTTATATCTCATGAATGAGGCCCATTGTTTTTTTTTTCTTTTATCTAAATTAGCTTTTTATTTCATTTACAAACCTATATGTTGTTCACTATAATTTAAGCCTTTAGATATTTGTGTTTTTTAAATTGTGATTAACTCATATTCTTCAGGTGATCAGACTGACGTTGTGGAAGTTGGTAAAATCTCTTTCAGTCCTGCCGAGGTGCTGGGCCATGGGACAGAGGGAACCTTTGTGTTCCGGTGGGTTATTATGGATTGTAATAATAGTTTGGTTGGTTGTTCTTTACCTTTAATTCACTGGTATTATACATGCAGGGGTCATTTTGACAGTCGGCGTGTGGCCGTAAAGCGTATTCTTCCGGAGTGTGTGGAGTTTGCAGAGCGAGAGGTTCAGCTCCTCCGTGAATCAGACGAGCATCCCAATGTCATCCGTTACTTCTGCACAGAGCGGGACAGACAATTCACTTACATTGCCATAGAGCTGTGTGCTGCAACACTCCAGCAGGTGTGTTTCAGTGAATGTGTGTGTATGTGTGTTACAACATGAAAGTTACTCATTTGCCTTTTCACTGTTTCATCGTGATTTGTGAAGTCGATCTACATGAGGCAGTAACATGAGTATTGTATAGTTAGAATTTAAAAGTCAATTGGTGGCAGACAAGGAAATCTGTTCGAAAACAAACTGTTTGTGCATTTAGAGTTAGAGTTAGGCTAGTTGCACAAAAAGTATAGTTTAATATAACATAGTAAAATATAATATACACATTATTTTAGTATTAGTAATATACTATTATAGAATACTATTTATTAATATGTTGAATTAGCTTTTATTTTTATATTTTCAGTTTTAATTTTAAAGTTTTAGTATATTTGTCTTTTTATTAGTTTTTTTTAATACTTTTTAGCTTTATTTTATTTCAGTTTTAGCTTTAGTCATTTGAACTTTCTTAACATCCTTTTGAATACATTTCTAATTAATATATTTATAGTTTTTCCATCTAAAATTAATATTTTATTTTATTTCAGGTGTATTTCAATTAACAAAAACACTTTTTAAAAGTGTTTAAAACAGCATTGAAACCATGTAGTGTTATTATTTTTCAAAAGTTATTTCAGAATTATTAATAAACCATTATATGTTCAATTAGCTTTTATTTTTATATTTTCAGTTTTAATTTTAGTTTAAGCTTTAGTCATTTTGTTTGTCATTTTTATTGGTTTTATTTTAGTTTTAGTAATTTGAATACTTTTTAACATACTTTTGAATACATTTCTAATTAAAGTTTTTTAAGTTTAAGTTTTTCTTTTTTCATCAACATTTATATTTCAGCTTTGAGTTAACAAAAAACACTTTAAAAATTTTAGTTTGAGATAATAAAAAAAATGAGTGAGATTTATGCTTAAATTTTAAGATGCATTCACTGACAAATATGCACAATTTTTCATTTTTAAAGATGATTTAAGGATTTAGATATTTCTACTAAAAAGCAAGACAAAAACTATGATTATGAATTAGGCTTTTGCAATATGCCACTACTAAAACAATATTCCTACTGTACTGTGCTGTATTTTATATTTTCTAACTGTATAACAACATTTTGTTATTCATTTCCATTAATAATATTAATTAATAATATTAATATTAGTATAACCAACTCCAATTTCAGCTGTATAATAACTGATAACTTGTTTCCATGCACCCTGATTGGGTTTTTCTATTTTGTATGTAGTATGTGGAGGACCCAAGCTGTCCTTATTCAGACCTGAACCCAGTGTCCCTTCTGGACCAGACCATGTGTGGCCTGAGTCACCTGCACTCCCTCAATATTGGTGAGTCACTATTGCCATAGCAATGATTCTAATCATAACTTCCTTCCTGTAACTTCTTAAACATGCACATGGTAGTATTGCATTGCACTAATGTTTATTAATTGCTGTTGAGTACCTGGATGTTGATGGCATACATGCATGCAAGCAGACGGACCCACCGTCATTTGTAATTACGTGTCCCTCTCGTACTCAGTTCACAGGGATTTAAAGCCACGGAATATTTTGCTCTCTCTCCCGGGGGCATTGGGTCGAGTCCGGGCGGTGATCTCAGATTTCGGCTTGTGTAAGAAGCTTCCAGATGGTCGCCATAGTTTCAGCCTACGCTCTGGAATACCAGGAACCGAAGGCTGGATTGCCCCTGAATTACTCATAAATGCTCCAAAAGGGAACCCTGTATGTCCAGTAGACATGCATACAAACACACACATCACATGTTCAGTTTAAAAAACAGATATTGTGGTCTACTGAATTTTAAAATCTCACTAAATAAGATATATTCTGTATAAGTTTCCTATAAGTCTCCTTTCCCCTCTTTTTTCTGTCTCTAGACAAGTGCAGTGGACATATTTTCAGCTGGATGTGTGTTTTATTATGTGACGTCCAAAGGACAGCATCCGTTTGGTGACACTCTGCGGCGTCAAGCTAATATCCTCTCTGGAGTCTATAACCTCGACCACTTTATGGAGGATATACATGGTTTGTGCATGCATGAATTTATTAATGCATGTGTACTTTCTGCTTCAGAAGTGTCTGATTTTGTGTAGACAATGTTATCATGGAGATAAATGTAGAAAACTTTTTGTTTTTTTTGGAGAATAAAACTATATTATTTGGCCATTTTAACATTTTTAGCATCAACTAAGAACTATGTGGTTTGGCTGATTAATAGGTTTCAATTAATAAATTAGATCTAAAATGTCATCAGTTATGTGTATGCACTGAAAAACTCATATTTGAATAGCTTCCTAAAGTTTTTCTGGCTGTTTTGGTGTTTGTAGAGGATGTGATTGGCAGAGATCTGATTGAGCGGATGATCAGTGCTGAACCGGAAACCCGTCCTTCAGCAGCGTCCGTCCTCAAACATCCCTTCTTCTGGAGCCCAGAGAAACAACTGCAGTTCTTTCAGGTGTGTGTGTGTGTGTGTGTGTGTGTGTGTGTGTTAAAGGGTCCAGTGAGAAAGTGCAGTGCTGAAGTTGTTCTTTGGCTCTAGGATGTCAGTGACAGAATAGAGAAGGAGCCGGCAGACAGCGCTATAGTGGCCCGTCTGGAGAACTCCGGCAGATCTGTCGTAAGAACCAACTGGAGGATGCACATATCAGCACCACTCCAGGCTGGTAAGCACTGCCAATTACCATTACAAAAAATACTGTAAAATTTTTATTTTATAGAAACATTGAATAAAATGTGGAACGTTTTAAGGCGTATGAAGTGAAAAATGTTTCAATTCATGCTTATTCTTATGTATATACAGTATTTGCATGTCTAATATAAAACTTTTTACATCTGGCAGATCTTAGAAAATTTCGCACATATAAAGGAAACTCTGTGAGAGACCTACTTAGAGCAATGAGAAATAAAGTAAGTATTTATGTGTTTTTACATATAAAATGTGTTGCATACAAAAGTGAGTAATCACTAAAAAAAAACAATTAATAATGCACTTAATATAATATAATATAATTAGTGCTGTCAAACGATTAATCGCGATTAATTGCATCCAAAATAAAAGTTTTTCTTTACATAATATATGTGTGTGTACTATGTATATTTATTATGTACGTATATATAAATACACACACATACAGTATACATTCTGAAAATATTTACATGTATATATTTATATTTACATAATATATCAATACATTTAATATACAAATATATCATATTTTTCTTTAATATATACATGCATGTTTGTGTATTTATATATACATAATAAATATACACAGTACACACACATATTATGGAAAAAAACTTTTTTGTATGCGATTAATCGCGATTAATCATTTGACAGCACTAAATATAATATAATATAATATACACTATCATTCAAAAGGAGTCTGTAAGATTTTTAAAATACTGTTGAAAGTTGAAAAACTTCATCAAACATACAGTAAAAACTGTATCGTGAAATATTTTTACAATTAAAAAAAACAGTTTTCTGTTGAACTGCTTTAATATATTTGAAAACGTAATTAATTCCTATGATGAAAAATCATTTTCACCTTCACTTTAATCAATTGAATGCATCTTTGCTGAAAAAAGTATCAAATTAAAAAAATTAATAAAATTTGTGACAACAAACTTTTGAATGGTCATAATATAATGTTTTCTAATATAATATTTAAAAGTTGGGGTTGGTAAGTTTTTAATGTTTAAGTCTCTTATGCTCATCAAGGCTACATTAATTTGATTTTTAAAAAATACAGTAAAAATAGAAATATTGTAACAAATTATTATATTTTAATATATTTTTAAATGTCATTTATTCCTCTGTTGGCAAAGCTGAATTTTCATCTTCAATTTAATTTGCTGAATAAAAGTATTAATTTATTTTAAAAAAAATTGTACTGCCCCCAGACTCGTGAACCGTAATTATAATGTAATAGAATAGAATGTAATAGAATAGAATAGAATAGAATTCTATAAAAAGCCTTCTATAAAAATTTAGAAATCTTGTAATGTTTTTCAACAGAAACATCATTATCATGAGCTCCCACCAGAGGTTCAGACAGCTCTCGGTGAAGTCCCTGATGGCTTCGTGGCATATTTTACCTCCCGTTTCCCCCGGTTACTGCTTCACACGCATTCAGCGCTTAGCATCTGTGCCCCCGAGAGACTCTTTCACCCATACTACCACCACTGAACATCCACAGAGACATGCTTGTTTGTTCCTACACTGGACTGGAGAGGAAAAGTAAGATCCTTGAGGAAACGGAGACCTTGAGGACTCAATTAAACACTGTCAATGTATAACTCTGTACTTCAGAACTGTGAGCACATTTCGTTGTAGAATTTTCTCCTAAACATCCTACTGGACTTGCTGAACGAAATTGAAAGTTTTTTATGCTTTTACAGAAACAGGTTTTATAGGTTAGATTAACCAAACAAGTTACTGAGTGGGCTTTTATTAGTGGGCTTTTACAGAGCTGCCATTGTCTGCTGCTGGTTTTATCATGTCAACCAAATAGCAAAGAAATAAAAAGGCCATATTTTCTGATGAGTTGACATCAGCCAGTAGTTTGGCATGTGTTCTACCATTTCTGTCAGTTTTGACTTTTAACACACAAGATTACTGAATCGCCAACTGACTACTTATATTCTTATTAGGTAGAAAGTTAAGCATTTTCATAATAAAGGTTTCTTAAAGGGATAGTTCACCACAAAAGTTTCAAAAAGGGGTGAAAAAAAAAATCTTGTGCAGGATATTCATATTCAATACGTTTGTGTGAGAAACAAATAATGAAATACATTTTGGGTGAACTATTCCTTTAGCCAGGTTACATGCTTAAAGAATGATAAAAGCCAGCAAAACATCCACTGATATTTGCAGATATATGACAATATTTGATAATTAGTGGACTTAAAAAAAAACTAGTTTGTCTGTCATATTGTACACCACGTGTACATGTATATGTATTTGTGTGATTCAGATACATTGGGATTGGGATTTTTTCTTTTGATTTTGCTTTGTGTGGTTTTAATTGCAGCTTCATGCTACATTTATGGATCTTTTATCCTCAACCACACATTGCAGCTTCATCCTCATCTCTCAGTGTTACAGCTTTAAAACCAAATATTGTGAAGTGTTTTACAGCCTGCTGTACACTAGTTTTATACTGCTAGTTTAAAAAATATGTCTTTTTATAAATTAAGTGTTGAGGATTTTTGCCACTGGAAATACTAGTGCCTTTGTTTTTCTACCCAGTGACGATTAAATGTATTTGCCAAAAAAATCTTTGAAACTATTTGTGGCACAGATCAAAAACTCTTATACTTGATTCAGATTAATGTTGTTATGGATTTCCATGGCACTGGATACTGTGTTCAGTTCAAGTTACTTTAAAAAACACAATGGTATTACCATTATCGGTGTACTAAATATGGTAGTACCATGGTACTTTTTGTGCCATTTTATTACAGCATCTACAACAGACTACTAGTCAAACACACGTAACTACATGAAAAATGTTTTAAACCTAAAAATGAAACCTTTTTATACTGACTTTGCCCTGCAACACATTTTGGACAGTGATATAATCTTAAATAAACTACCTTTAAGCATTTGATTGCATTTCTCTACATTTTCTCAGCCGTTGAATCTAATCCATTATGTTGTGGTAAGCTGTTATTGTGCAAATGCACTTAATGTTTAAATCATTTGTCAGCTTTGTGATGGCCAGCTTTACTCTTAATACAAGTGGTCTTGGTGACAGCTGCAAATGGAAAGCTCAAAAACAAGATGTGTTCATGATGTGCAGTGGCGATGTAAACAAAAACTACCAAAGAGGACATAATGAAGTGACACTTCATTAAGATGTAGTGAAGCAAGTTCCTTTAATCTTCCTCATGGTTTCCCCCAAACATTGTCTTATTTGCACATGCTGCCTTAACAATGTAACATGCTTCCTGTAATAGAAAACATGCAATATGTTTTGTGTTAAGATTTTTTAAATGATTTTGTATAAGACTCTTATGCTCACCAAGGCTACATTTCAAAAACAGCAAAAGCAGTAATATTGTGAATAAATTTAAAATAGCTTTTTTTATTTGAATATATTTTACAATGTAATGTATTCCTGTGATGCAAAGCTGAATTTCCAGCATCATTACTCCAGTCTTCACCGTCACATGATCCTTCTTAAATCATTCTAATATGCCGATCAAGAAACATTTATCAATATGGAAAACTGTTTTACAGCGTAATATTTTTCTGGAAGGGGTTTTTTCCCAAGGTTCTTTTATGAATTTCCAAAGAGCAGCATTTATTTAAAATCGAAATCTTTCATAATATAAAATTTGTTTATATGTTATACAGAACAAAAAATACTGAGCCCTAACAGTATAGCATATTAAATTACGGTAAACTCAACATGAAACAAAAGTAGACCCCATTCCGACAATATTGAAATATTAAAAGACTGATAGATCGCAAGGTTTCATGTTAGATTTAAAACACTAAACACTTATTTTCAAGACGCTTACATTTTAATTAAACTCATAATTATAAACTTGTATTTATCATCAACAGTATCTAACAATCGAAATTTCTCTAAAAAGATCTTTATTTTGGAAAACCAACTTATTTCAAATATTCTCTTACACATTAAAAGATTAACATCCAAAAGCTTTTATACAAAGAACAGTCAAAAGGTAAACAGACAAGTTCTAAAATATTAAAACATGTACAAGAGCATTCACATGATACAGCGAGCTGGCATGGTCACAAACTCCCCAACCCAGAAAAACAACTGATAGTATAGGAGTAAACAACAGATCCAGAGGAGGAAGTCATAGATTAGAACCCAGAAAACTGACAAGTTTGACTGCTGGAATCTCATAAAGCTATACAATTTGTGACATCAGTGGGTTAACGGGCAGAAGTAGCGGCTGTGGCGGTGCTTTTGCAGGCCATGAGCTTCTCCACCATGTTGCGAGCGTAGCGCAAACGACTGGCCAACTCTTTACAGCACCCAAACTCCTCAATTAAGCTCATCTTATAGGTGTAGAACTCCCGCTTCTCATTGATGTACGTCACTGCGCCCATCAGGGGACACAAAATAAGCTTAGTGTGGTCCTGTAGGACACAAAGAGAAAATGGTGAGGTCACCCTATCAGTTTGGATACTTCTGTATTTTGGTTGACATCACAAGTACCCAGATCAAGTACTTGACCTATTTTAAACATGGTAGGTTCTCACCTGGAAGAAGTTGATCTGCACGGTTCCATTGCTCAGGTGTAGCACAATGGCGCTCTTTGTGCGGAACCAATGGCGCAGGTAAGGCAACCGGATCAGTTCATCCCCATCACGGGGCGTTATGTTCGCCCCGGCCTTCAGCAAGTGCTCGCTCATGTAATTCCTGAAGTACTTGAGGAGTGTAATCTACACCAAAAAAAAAAAAAATTATATATATGTACATGTATGTGTTTTTAGCAACCCTGGAACAAAGAATTATGAAAGTCATTCATTGTATTATTTCCAGGGCACACAGACCTTTTTGGAGAGTGCAGAAGGGTAGGAGCGAACACTGAGGTAGGATTCTGCAGAGTTGCGGTCGATATACTGCAAACTGTCACCGTCAGTGTACATGATCAAACGCGTGGAATCATTGAACAGAACGCCTACGCTGTTATCACACAGCTGGTAACCTATGAAGGGGAAAAGTACATTAGCATATGGACAATATGTTTGGAAAGCATACAAGTAGCATCATGCATCATCCAAAGCTACAAATTACATTTGTGCACATAATTGGGATATCACAAAACATTTGTGAATAAAGCACCTTTTCCATTCTGCATGTTCAAGAAAACCTGGAAAACTGGCACAAAATATCAGTAGTAAAATAACGTGCTGCAACAGTGGAAGACAGACTTTTTTCCCCTACATAATAAATTTGAAGCCCAGAGCATGTTATCTTGAGAAAAAGTGTTTCTATCGCAGTTTATGCATGTTTTCTTACCAAATGAAGTTACCCACCTCAATTGAACAATTTTAGTGCATATTAAGATTTTGCTCATTCCTTTAGGGCTGATGGATCTTTAAACTAAACTGCAGCTAGCAGTAGCTAACTCTACAAATTACGGGATGCACCAAAATGATTTTATATTTATAAACCGCTGTTTTCATTTAGCCAAAAACCTAAAATAAAGGTTTCAGTAATTAGGGTAATTGAAATGTGATCTCGGATAATAAATTCCACCAGTCACTGTAAAGTTCTTCAGCAATGAGTTGCTTCATTTCAACAAATTTTTAAAAGTGAAGCGAGTTCACATTGCTTTCATGTTTGCCAATTGTAGATCATCCACATTATGTGCACAAAACAGACACTTAACAGAGCCAAAATGCATCAGTGGAGAAATAATGTTTCCACAGTTTTTAGTGAATATTTCCAGTTGATGAAATTTCAATGCAACATTAACAAATGCCACTTTGGATATTGGCTTGAGTATGTCAGTGTCAGCATGGCGTCTTACCAAGGCCGTATTTGTCTGAGTAATCGACCCATTTACTAATCCAGAAGATAGGAATACAAGCAGGGTCCTCTGCTTCCTCTATATAGGGAAAAAGAAATTATTGCATTGTGCCTGTCAATAGTTTGAACATGAACACCAATCAGCACTTGACCATAATTTTGTGGCTTTATGTACAAATGCACAAAGTACAGTTTTATAGATTTTTGCTGTTACAGTAGCTCCTACTCCTATTTCCATTAAAATACAGCAACAACCCTTCATTGGCAAGATGCAGAAAATCCATGTGGTTACCTTGTCTAATAAAGTCTCTCTCAGATGGCCTGGCCGTGTTGAGGCAGGCCAGCTGCTGCAGCATGTCACTTAGATGACACTCAGGTTGTTCAGCTCCATCCCTGTACAGAACAATGTAGATAAAACCCATTAAATACAAATATATTACCCTAAATTTATATGGGACGCAAGTCAGTTTTTACAATTAAATTAAAATCATGGTTTTGATACTATTTGCCAAATGCATGTTCAAAACCAGATATTAAAAAAAAACTAGTGCTAAAACGGCGTGCTAGTATCTACATCGATAAAACTGACCTTTGCTGAAGATCTTCCCTTTGTGGCTGCTCCATTTTCCCAATAGGACTATCTGTTCCTGTACACAGAAGAAAGATTACAGCTGACTTGAAAGTGAAATTTAATTTGAAATATTTCTGAGTGACAAGATTTTCAATGGAGGGAAACACTGAAATCCGACACAGCTGTGCCGAATTACAAGATAGCATTGTAAAACTTGATTTATCTATACACATACCTTTATTAAGTGATGAGAGGGGTTTGCGAAGGAGGGCGGGATCCAGACTGGAGGGGGCAATGGAGAACCTGGGAGGTACAGTGAGACAGGAAGTGGGCAGCCGCAGAGGCGCATAACCGGAGGTGAAAAACTCATCAGCCAACAGCTCGGACACAGAAGGTCTGAGCGAAGGGTCAGCAAGCAGCATCCGACGAATCAGAGCAGCAGCAACTGGATTAACATGCTAAACAATACAAAAAAAAAAAAAAGCATATTGCAATAAGCCACCAATCTGACAAGATTCAATTTATGTTTGCTTTAAACATTCAATAGAAGGTACAAAATCTAGCAAGTTACCTACCTAAATGTTATTAAGCACAATTAAATGAAAGTGGAGAAAGATTAAACATTACAAGCTTAACTTTTTTTTTTTTTGAAACCCAAGCACACAAATTGTTCACAATAAAGATCGATTACAAAAAAATATTTTCATTTCATGCCATGTACAACAGGTGAACTCCTGATGTGAAGATACATACTCTAGGAACAGTGTACTCATTCTTCTTGATTCTGATGTAGGTCTCCTTCAGACAAGATGTCTCAAATGGTGGCTTTCCAACCAGCAGTGTATATCTGATGGACACATTACATCTCCATCAGCAGTCGCACATGCTCAGTTATAAAAATTAATCCTTATGCAAGGATGGAATCCCATTAGAGATAGTGTTTTATGAAAATCTACATCAAATGCTTCCATAGTTGTTTAATTTAACATTGGACTTACAGAATGCATCCCAGTGACCATACGTCTACTTCAAAGCTGTGGCCTTTCTTGCAGAGCACCTCTGGAGCA